AAACCCTTGAACTTAATGACCTTATATCAATCATGCTAGATTCTTACAATGCCAAAATATGCAAAAGACAATAGAAATTCACTTAATTGGCTGCGCACTCGCACTGTCAACTGCTGAAGAAAATAGTAAACAAATGACCAAAAACACCCAAAATCTCATCAAATCCCTAACTCAAGTCCCCAGCTATGGGGTCTGGACCCTAATCATGACTCCATCTCCCTGTGGTCGATCACCAAATACACTAAAACGCCAAAAAATATCCAAAATTCACTAGCACCTAGTGGGGAAAACACAAGAAAATGCAGTAAACTTGTAAAAAATCACAGTAAAGTACTGGATTCCATACGGAAAGCAGAGTCCCAAAAAGAGTAAAAAATGTATAAATACAATCCTTGCTACCCCGGCACGTGAATGCTAGCTTAAGCGACGTAAACAGAAATCAGCTGATGTAAACAAACGCCACTGACCTCCCTCATCCTTAGCCGGCTCAGGGGAAGTCCCTCGCCAAAATCCGAGAAGTCTCCACTCCTCTTCCTCTATGTTTTCTTATTCCACACGATATTTTCTAGTGAATTCACAGTTAATATGTAATTTAACATTAAATAGTAAGCGTTCACAGGTCACTAGAGCCGCCTGGGGCCAGTGCGGGCCTTCGCAAGCTCCGAGTTACGTGCTCGTCAAAGATGGCTGCCGGTCGGCCATTTTACGGCCTGCTCGTCCCTGAGGCTGAGTCGTAATTTCCGTTTCATCGGATTTTCGCCGCTTTCCTCAGCGCTCGCTTTTCCAACGATAAAACACCACGATCACTACATTCTTAAGCAACACTTGCAATAATACACAGGCCGCTGAGTGTGCGGATGACGTGGAAATTTAGAGATTTTCACGGAGGTTTTCAGGCCGTGGCAGAGCTAAGTCCGTCAGCCATGTTCCCACTATACTACCCACAATCCTCAGCGCGATGACGTCGTCCCGGCTCCAGCCTTCAAAAACAACTAACTCACACCAAGGCTCCAAAAGGGACAACACAAACTAAAAACAACAATGCACAACAGCGAAAGCAAGGAGAGAATTAATAAGGTCCGAATAAACGCTAATAATATTGAGGGTATGGATGATCCTGTCGTGTATGTATTATTTCCCCCCCTTCACTCAAACCCCCCAATAAACGGGAATGGAAAATGAAATATAGTTTGTAATAAATACTTTTATTTATCCGAAATTATTAACAAAAGAACTGTACATGGAAATTATTTTATCTAAATGCATCGGTCATTCCGCGAAATTGGAAAATAATGCAGTTAGTAGTCAGTCAGTATTATTCCTTAGAATCATTAAACTGCCCCCCCCATCAGCATCCTCCTCCCTCTCCCTCCTTCCTTCCGGATGGGAGAAAGGGAGGAAAATGAAGGAAATGAGGGGGGAAAGTAAGAGATGGGAAAGAAAATTTTCCTCCTGAATACATCATATTGGCCCATAATATACACAACTCTGGGAATGAAAGTGTTGAAATATGAATGGCAACGATGGAACTCCTTGCAACTACAGCTTCTTGGCTTTCCGAGGGCGTGGGGAATTATTCCAGATGATGGGCGTACAGTCGGTGATGGACACCACGTTGAGCCCGCCCATGGTCACGCCCTTTACAGCAGACTGGAAAGAGAAAAAAAAGGAGAAACGTAAAACAAACTCAAATAAAAAGTTCAAGAGAGAAAACCATAAAAACTGAAGAACGTGCTAGACAAAATGGATTGGCTTTTTACCCAATAAGCAGCCAAATTATATTAAAGACAAACTCAGAAGGTAAAAAATACACAAAATCGGAGATTTTTTAAATACTCCTACTAAAACTAGACAAGATCATGGAGAGTCAGACATCACAAGACAATATATATGCATCCTAGCAAAGCTATATATAAAGCTCTCATACACTCATTACGCGCATGTATAACTAATCACAATATATCTAGCATTTCAGTGTGTGAGTGTGTGAGTGTGTGTGTGTGTGTGTGTGTGTGTGTGTGTGTGTGTGTGTGTGTGTGTGTGTGTGTGTGTGTGTGTGTGTGTGTGTATAGAGGTGTGGGTGGAAGATGAGGGCAAATTTAGGGGCAGGGAAAATTAGCAACTTTAGTCTGATATCAAGGTTAGTGAGAGGGTGGTGGTCTAGTGAAATCCAATGGTGGCTGACACCAGACTATGTCGAGTTAGCAAAATATTTACATTCCCTACAAATGACAGAAATGGAGTGTGACATTATGAATGGAAGATTGTAGTGATAGTTTTGGGATGAGGTAAATGATAAATTTAAGGTTTAATTATCAACTTCTCCAAGCATAAAAAACTGACCCAAAATATTAATCCCCAAAAAGGTGTCAAAAATGTAGTTTATCCATAACCCATTAGTGATGTAGAATATTTAATGAGGAGAAAAATCCCATTGAGTACTGAAGAGGGTCTTGAAGTGTAAATCTAACTAGTCATTTGAAAGTCCAAAGGATGCTACATGGAACACAATATGCTTGTGGACATTGCAAATAGGTATTGAAAATCTAGCAGCCGATTTGTGTCATGTCTTGGTACAAATTCTTGCAATATCAAATATGCAATATCAGCATGTTACAAGGTGTGATGGCTAGAAAGGGGACAACTCCAATTTAAAAAAGGGTGAGAGCGTGTGTCACACACGCCTAACTGTACACTTGGCCAGATTGTTCAACCGTTGACACAACTGGGTATATCAAAATATGCTGGGTATGCCAGAACGAGATGTCAATGGTACAAAAGGGGATGTATAACAGTCACTGGGCATGTCACTGAAGATGTATGGATACTTTTTATGACAAGGTTAAATAGTGCTATAACTAAAAATACTTTTAAGTAGTGGGTGTTAAATGGTGGGGTATTCACTGCAGTTTCAGGTCGAGAGAGAATTGTATGGATATGTATGATTAATATTACTATCAATGTAGAGTATGGTCACTTAAAATTTCGGTAGTGTATGTGTGGGGGTGGAGGAGGTGGAGGGGTCTTGTCCAGGAAGTGCTTGGGTTTATCTGTGGGGAATTTTACAAAACGTGAAAAAAAGTGCCAAGCCCCCAGAGAGTGGTGCCATACCACATGTCTAGGGTATTGTGCAATCACATACTCTAGATCAGTAATTCGCAACCTTTTCCATTCTGTGGCCTCTGGCCAATATATAATAATCTCTATTGACCCAGATAGTGACTTGACATCTTTTCAGATTCAATTATTGCTAGTTATGCATAAGTATTGCAAGATTAAATTCTCATTACTCTAATGCCCATATTGGGAAGCCCTGTTCTGGAGTATATAGAGTATCTGCAAGGCATTTTAGGTTAGACCTGGGTCTAATATTTTACCTTAATTAATGTGAAAAGATACCACATACTTCAGGCAAGGAGGGGAACTGCAACTCAGTTTTAAATATATAATTAAATTATATTATATATATAATAAGCAAACTAACAATTTATAATTATCCACCTAAGCAGTAAGCGTACAGAATGAGGGATAACAGATAATCATATTCTCTCTTTCAATGTATAGTTAAAGTGAAAATTTACAAGAAAACCTTTGGTCAATGTTAAGGTTACTACACACAAGGATTTGACTAATAACATTTTGAAACACTTTCAAGTTACTTTTGCCACTAAATGCCTTCCATGTTGTAATTCAAAATGGGAATTGTTCATGAAACAGGAGGAACCAGCCATACAGTATTACTTAGTGAAGCACGCCTACATGACATTCTTACCCACAAAGTTGTGTAACAATATTTTCCTTACAGTATGAATGCCCTGAGTTGAACAAGAAAAGTGGGGCATGAGGGGGAGGGGGGGGGGGACTTTCTTACATGATGGGAGCACTGGGTAATAATATTAACATACGAGCCAGAATAAGTAATTTTGTGGAAAAATGGTCTTGAAAATGAATATATAATACAATACTGCATGGGGAAGAGTACCTCAGTCATAAAACAGAGTAACGGTCCAAACCTAACTGGTATCAAATTTTACCAGCTAAACAATTATTAAATTGTACCTATCTTTTTAATATTCAAAAAATCAAGTTGGGAATTTTAATTTTCTCTACTCTTAAGGTAAAAAAGAAAAAAAAGAAAAGAAAATTTTAGTGAATAACCACACATCTAAACTTAAAGACACCCACAAATAAACATAGCATCTGTCCAACAAGCATTTCCAATATGGAGAAACAAAATTAATACACAAGAACTGTATAAAAAAAAATATGCTGCAATATATAATAAAAGAACTGAGACATTCTAAGGTTTCTAATTTTCTAAATGTAGTTAATATTTTATCTTTCAACTTCAAATAATCATCAGGACAAGGACCCCAAAATAACTTGAAAACATACCTATACATACACATACATACATACATACATACATAAATACAAATACATAGGACACAAAATGGTTGTTACACAGGAGAAATTTGGTAAGTTTTAACGATAAAAAAGGTATACCAAATCACTAATGCTGAAGTAAAAGTTTTGCTCTTCATGGACAAGAAAAGACATCAATAAACATTGAACATCTTGTGGTTTGATAGGGAAAATACAGATGCATATCCGAGGACCAATGCTAGATGTAGGAGGGGGGGGGGGTGATAGGAAAAGGGTGATTGGGGCTTGGGGTGTAAGGGGGGGGAGGGGGAGGTAAGGGCAAGTGAGGATGAAAAGGAGAGAGAAAGAGGGGTCAGAGGGGCTAAGAGAACCAAGGTTGGATAAAAAGGCATGGGAAGGAGGGATAGAGGAGAATAGGAGGAAGTATGAAGAGGAGTATGAATAGGAGGATGTGTTGTATGAAGAGGAAGAGATGGAGGAGGAGGAGGAGGAGGAAGAGGTGAAGGAGGAGGAGGAAGAAGTATGAAGAGGAAGAGGTGGAGGAGGAGAAAGAAGTATGAAGAGGAAGAGGTGAGGTGGAGGAGGAGGAGGAGGAGGAGGAGGAGGAGGAGGAGAAGGAAGTAGTGGAGGAGGAGGAGGAGGAAGTAGTGGAGGAGGAGGAGGAGGAAGTAGTGGAGGAGGAGGAGGAGGAAGTATGAAGAGGAAGAGGTGGAGGTGGAGGAGGAGGAAGTATGAAGAGGAAGAGGTGGAGGAGGAGGAAGTATGAAGAGGAAGAGGTGGAGGAGGAGGAAGTATGAAGAGGAAGAGGTGGAGGAGGAGGAGGAGGAGGAGGAAGTATGAAGAGGAAGAGGTGGAGGAGGTGGAGGAGGAGGAGGAAGTATGAAGAGGAAGAGGTGGAGGAGGAGGAGGAAGTATGAAGAGGAAGAGGTGGAGGAGGAGGAGGAGGAAGTATGAAGAGGAAGAGGTGGAGGAGGAGGAGGAGGAGGAGGAAGTATGAAGAGGAAGAGGTGGAGGAGGAGGAGGAAGTATGAAGAGGAAGAGGTGGAGGAGGAGGAGGTATGAAGAGGAAGAGGTGGAGGTGGAGGAGGAGGAAGTATGAAGAGGAAGAGGTGGAGGAGGAGGAGGAGGAGGAGGAAGTATGAAGAGGAAGAGGTGGAGGAGGAGGAGGAGGAGGAGGAAGTATGAAGAGGAAGAGGTGGAGGAGGTGGAGGAGGAGGAGGAAGTATGAAGAGGAAGAGGTGGAGGAGGTGGAGGAGGAGGAGGAAGTATGAAGAGGAAGAGGTGGAGGAGGAGGAGGAAGTATGAAGAGGAAGAGGTGGAGGAGGAGGAGGAGGAAGTATGAAGAGGAAGAGGTGGAGGAGGAGGAGGAGGAGGAGGAGAAAGTATGAAGAGGAAGAGGTGGAGGTGGAGGAGGAGGAGGAGGAGGAGGAGGAGGAGGAAGTATGAAGAGGAGGAGGAGGAGGAGGAGGAGGAAGTATGAAGAGGAAGAGGTGGAGGAGGAGGAAGTATGAAGAGGAAGAGGTGGAGGAGGAGGATGTATGAAGAGGAAGAGGTGGAGGAGGAGGATGTATGAAGAGGAAGAGGTGGAGGAGGAGGATGTATGAAGAGGAAGAGGTGGAGGAGGAGGAGGAAGAGGTGGAGGAGGAAGAGGTGGAGGAGGAGGAAGTA